ACAATATCGGAATTTTTAGACAGAGCGACTAGAAGCCAACACCAATTCAGACGCCGCGAATGCTATAACCTGTATATCCGCAAGACCATGGATCATCTGAACCAAAAGAACCGCGAACAGGAACGGAATCAAGAAACCGAGCAAGATTCCCCAAAAGCAATCAGGCAAAAGTCAAAGAAGCAAAACCCAGAAACGGATTTCGCAGTAACTCCAAGATGCAAACCAAATTCGACTCAAAACGAGACCCGGAAAAGAGAGAAAATCCCGAAGCGTCGGCAGTCAGCTTACCGGGTGGAGAAGAACGGCGCCCGTCGATCGTCGCCGACCCAGAACAGGATCGAAAGAGCAAGCGCGAATCCGAACCCGCCGCGAGCGAAGCGCGAGTACCCTTCGATCCCGAATCGCCGATCGAGCGATAGGCCGGAACCGGCAGGCACCTCAATCGGCCGAAGCAAGCGATCGGGACTCCCCCATGACCCTCTTTCTTGGATCGACGAAGTTTCAATCGAACTCGACGGGAATTGGTCGGAGCTTCACACACGTGCAGCGGACTCCCGTGCGGAAGCGCAGTTGGTGTTGTTTCCCCCAAGGACCGTGCCAACGGTGGACCAAAAGCTCGTATTTTTTTATAGGGTTAATACCACGAAAAATCCTAAATTGGTACACTTGTGACACATTTACCCCAAACTATTTTTTTGACCATAAAAAATCCCAAACTGGTACACCTGTGACAATTTTACCCTGAACTATTTTTTTGACCACCAAAAATCCCAAACCGATATACTTGTGACAATTTTACCCTGAACTATTTTTTTGACCACCAAAAACCCCAAACTGGTATACCTGTGACAATTTTACCCCAAACATATCACAAAAAACCTTAAACTGGTACACATGTGACAATTTTACCCCGAACTAATTTTTAATATTATTTTTTTGAATTTTTTCTTTTTTCTTTTCTTTTCTTTTTTTTCTTTTTTTTTCCTTCACCTTCAACCTCTGGCCGGTCGCCGGTCCGGCGACCGGCCAGAGGCGGAAGCCGGCGAGGGCCGCCCTCGCCCGACGCCGGATCTGGCGAGGGCGACCCTCGCCTGCGTCGGGCGAGGGCTGTCCTCGCCTGCCCAGGGCAAGGGCGACCCTCGCCCGACTCAAGCGAGGGCGGCCCTCGCCGGCTTCCGCCTCTGGCCGGTCGCCGGACCGGCGACCGGCCAGGGTTTGAAGATGAAAAAAAAAAGAAAAGAAAAGAATAAAAAATAAATAAAAATTAGAAAAAAATAAAAAAAATAATATTAAAATTTTAATTCAGGGTAAAATTGTCACATATGTACCAGTTTGGGGTTTTTTGTGGTAAGTTCAGGGTAAAATTGTCACAGGTGTACCAGTTTGGGGTTTTTGGTGGTCAAAAAAATAGTTCAGGGTAAAATTGTCACAAGTGTACCAGTTTGGGGTTTTTTATGGTCAAAAAAATAGTTTGGGGTAAATGTGTCACAAATGTACAAGTTAGGGCTTTTCGTGGTATTAACCCTTTTTTATATAGGAATACGTGGATAGGTGTATGAATGTCGCAGAGCAGGCACAAGAAATGACGTGAGTTTTTCACGGCGATAAACAGTGTGAAATGGTTGTGGTGTTCTCTCTGTTCGAACGTGCTCTGCTTTTCACACCAGAAGATCCTTTCTTACCAGCTTCAAGTGTGTGCATGTTCGAGATGGAGAGGAAAGAAGGGAAGCCAAGAATGGAGGGATGCGAATGGTTCCGCTGGTTCTTTTGTGCTGAAGAATTGGTACATTAAGCGGTACCATTGCCCTCTCACAATCAAAATTGGCAACTATGGGTATTCATAGTTCTTTCTCTTTAAAGTTTCATCTGATTATTAAAATTATGTCTCGATTTTAAACCCAAAAAGGAGAGTTTCCTAATTCAAGTTTAATAGGTTACCTAATTGGAGAAGATTTCCTAATAAGATGTTTCCTATTTTGGATTCAATTCTTGCCTATATATAAGAAGGGCATGTTATTTGTTATTAAAATTATGTCTCAATTTTGAGCCCGAAAATAAAAGTTTCTTAATTCAAGTAGGTTTCCTATTTTGGATAGGTTTCCTAATTGAATGATTTCCTAGTTGGAAAGGGTTTCCTAATTGGAAAATGTTTCCAAAAAAATATATTCCATATTTTGGATTCAATTCTTGCCTATAAATAAGAAGATTGTGTTATTTATGAGGATCATAAAAGAGAAGCTTATACTTGTGAATTACATTATGAAGATATCCGAGTGTGTTGTAGTCGATTAAATTCTTAAGGTAAGAATTTGTGCAATTCTTTCGTGAAATTGAGAGATTATTTCGTGAAAAATTGTGAGGTTAAACACTATTTGATTTATTGGGTGTAATTGGGGCTTGGGAAACATTGAGGTTGTGTTTGGTTGTCCGGATTTCTAAACAGGATATGACTGGATAGGATAGGATAAGAAATCCTGGGATTTCTTCATATCCTATCCACTGTTTGGTGGACTACGGATTTAAAGTCGGATAGGATAATTTTATTTTTTTTTGCTATTCACGGGTCCGGAGGAGTCGGTGAAGGAAAAAAAGCCGAGAAATTGTTTTGGTGAAAACGCACAAGGTGTGGGGATGAGGATGACGGCAAGTGGAGCGTCGGGTTTCTGGAAAAATAGGCATTAGAAATCCTATCCAGATCTATCCCACTCCCATCGGATTTTTTTATCCGGGCTATATCCGGTCTATATCCGACCTTATCCTATCCTGGACCACCACCAAACACAGGATAGGATAAAACATATCCTATCCTGGCTTTTATCCGGTCGACCAAACGCAGCCTGAGAGTATTTGAGTGACTCAAATGTGATTGTAATCTCCGTTGTATCGCTTGATCTATAGTGGAATTAATTGCTACTTTCCTCGCGAACGTAGGTCACTACGACCGAACCACGCAATCCGATTTATTTTCTTGCTCTGTCTATTTTATTATTCGATCGCTTGCTTCCGCAATATATTTCATGAAAAATCTTTTTCATGAAAAATATTTTCCTCATTTTTTGATGTTTGGATTGTTTAGGAAAATGAGTCGACGGAAATGTTTTCCTAGTCAGCAGAAAACCTATGCTTAAATTTTAGGAAATTAATTTCCTCCTTAAAACATCGGAAATCAAATTTCAAAATATGACAAAATACCGACACTTGGACCGGAAACTCTCCGCTTGAGTTTGGGAACCCTAATGCTCGTTCCCGGGTCCTTGATGCCTGGGACCCGATTCCTACGCCCAGGCTTGGGTACATCAAGGCCAGTTTGGGTCTCCGGCGCCCAGGCCGAAGTCCATCGAGGCCAAGCCAGTGGCCCCGGTGCCCATACCCGATACCCCGGCACCCAGGCTAGGTCTCCAAAGGCTGAGCACGGGATCCTGGTACTTGTGCTCGAATCCTTGGCAACTGAGCCCATGTCCCCAAAGGTCTTGCTCTGGTCCCCAGCGCTTGGGCGTCCCCAGTGCTCCTGTCGGGATCCTCCACACCCGTGCCCTAATTCATCTAGGTCAACCTTAGGACCTCAACACCAAGGCACAAGTTCAACATGGTTGGGCTCGAGACCTCGATGGTTGATCCTCGATCCCCGGCGCCCTAGCCCTGGTCCACAAAGGCCGAGCTCTTGACTCTAATGCCCGTGTCCGAATCCCTGGTGCCCGAGCTCTGGTCCACAAAGGCCCTAGCCCGGGTCCATCGAGGTCGGGCTCGGAACCCAATGCACTTTCCTAGATCCCTCATGCTTGAGCACGGGCATTGGGGACCCGGAAACGAGCACCAAGGTCCCAAGCCCAACCTTGATGGAGTAGGGCACGAACACCAGGGTCCCAAGCCTCGACCTCGATGGAATAGGCTCAGGGGCAGGAGACCTGGACACAAGTGTCGAGGACCCGAGCACGGCCATATCAGGCCCAACCATGTTGAACCCGAGCACGAGCACCAAGGACCCCAATCATCGAGATCTTACGCTTGAACTTTGTGGACACCCGAGTGCTAGGGATCCGGGGCCTTAGGCTCGGTCTCTATAGACCTGGGATCGGTGCCTGTGCTCTTGCTAGAGACCCAAGTGCCCAAGCCCAAGTCTAGTGTCGAGGTCCATCGAGGTTGGACTCGAGATCTTGGTGTCCGTGCCTGATTTTCTGGTTGCCCATACACACTTCACTAGTGCCCAAATATTGCATGTGTATTTAGGAAAATCAAATTAGATTTTCCTTTCTAAAAGACGGAAAATAGTTCTCTAGTTCTTTTTTAGATTTCAGCCAAACACCGGAAAGTATTGTTATTTTTCTGGAAAATGACTTCTTGAAAAATATTTTCCAAAAATATAACATTTTTCCATAAAACAAACGGAGCATACACGTAAGAATTTGCACAAATTAAAGAACTATAAATTTTCCTACTTTAAATATGTTGGAATTATGTCTCGAATTTGAATCCATTAGGCGAAACCCAATCCGAATGGGGATGTGCAAAAGCCAACTGTTGTAAGATTAACGAACACGGAAGCTAATGGGATCTTGCAAATTAAGTCAATATGAAAGCACCAAAGAAATTAATGAGAAAGGATAAAGGACACCAAAAATTTACGTAGTTTGGTTCAAGTACTGGTACCTACATCCACGAAAAACCCAAACAAAAAAAAGAACGTCATGAACATTGTTGTACCTGATTTTGCACATTTTGCTTGGGCACCTGGCTGGTGTACCGGGCAATGCAATGAGGGACGGTGCAAGGCGTGTCCTGCTGAGCGAGGCCCACTCCGATGTTCGTAGAACCTACGAAAGCCAAGGGAACGAGCCACGTTCAAGCTAAGGTTGAGCGAGGGGCAAGGGGTTTTTTTTTTTTTTTTTGGGTCACTGAGTATTGATGACGAGGAGGGACACAAACCTTTGCTTCGTCGGTGACGGCGGGGAGCAAGGAGCGCCCGAAGCAGAAACAACGCAATGCGACGGAGCGAGCACTCTTGCCTCATCAGGTTTGCATTTTCTGTTCACTTGAGTTTGGTCCAATCTACTAGCCCATACTTTCCAAATTTTGTCTGATCTAAAAGTGCATTGAATTCCAGAGCTCTAGATGCATAAGTTTTTTTTTTTCCTAGTTCTTTGGGTTTATTGGGTTTACAGGATGTGATCAGAAGCATGAAGAAGAAATGGACTTTAAAGCAATTTACAAGAATTTCGTCCTTGGGGTCAGTTACTATGCCTTTTTCCATCTTCACTTTTTTATCATGAGTAGGAGGCCTCTAAGTCGACGAAGTCGCCATGATGCTGCTGATTTATTGCAGGTAATGGCAGCTAGAAGTCCCAATGTAAGGCTCCGCAAAGCTTTAACTAGAAAGCCAATTAAATATGTACTGATCGCCTATCTTGAACTTGAATCTCCATCTCAATATGGTTCAGCTTATGATGTGCCTCATTTTCTCTTTGTTGTTATTTTATTGCTTTTGATCCTCAGTACTACAACGAAATGTCTACTGTCAGCTCCTGCGAAACCATCCAGATCTAGATCCAGATTATCAAGGATGGCTATGTTATCTTCAATTTCCAAAATGATAGTTAGTTGCAATAAACAGAGGCTCAAATCTATTCATCCAGTGGCTCCGACCCCTAACAACACTAACGTGGCTGAAATTCTTTTACCGACATGTAGTAGAAGATCAGAGCTCCGGAATCCAGCACTTTTCACAGAGAAGTCGAACAGAAAATGGCTGCATCTACTCCTTATAGATACACTATTTCGAAACAGCAAAATAACCTTGCCCCTACAGTGTTGCGGTGCAGGGAATGCGTAAAAATGACCATAGAATTTTAACATGTCGGGCAATTATCAAAGCCCATTCTACCCCACATTCTAAATGTATGTGGATCGGAGAGTTTACTATTCATTGTCAAATTTGGTTTTTCAAGGCATTTAGCTTCTTATAGATGATTGGTAAAGGAATGTTTTTTCATGACCATTGTTGCAAAGTAGCATCAACCTTTTACTACTTTAAACTAAGCAACATGCCATATTGCTCAATCTCAGCGTGAAATGTTTGCTGTTATTCGACTGGGCTAGCTTATAATGAATATGTTCCCTTTTGTTTCTTAGACAACGTTAGCCCAGTGAAGATGGGTAAGGTAGCCTTTTGTTTGAACATTCATTAGTAACCTGTATGCGAAAAACGAAAAATGATCACAACCATTGTGGTGAAGAAGCATCAACCTTTTCATACTCTCCTATTTCTTTCTCTCTTTGCCATGAACCCTTTCCTACTTTAATATAAGCAAATGTGCATCTTATTGCTCGATCTTAGTGTGAAATATCTATTGGTAGTCGGCGAAGGCTAGGGTGTTATGAATACGAATTTCCTGCTTATGTCTTGTGATAGCCGGCGTGAACCATTCGTCCAGAAATTCACTGAAAACCTTAACAAGGGTCTTGTGGTGGTAGTGGAACTCTACTGATAAACCACAAACTCTATAATCTCTTATGCACAAGTTGACGCATATATACACGAATTCTTGTCCAACCAACACCGTATAACAACTTTCAGGCAATCTGGACTTGTCTCTTTTAGGAACTATGTATCAATTGTGTACACTTATTGTCAATTGTGACAGGATAAACACGCTGAAAATTCCCAATAACATCAATAGAAGCTTGCTTATTTTGCAATGAGCTCAAAATGCTATTTCCTAGCATAGGAGATGAGAACACTACAAGTGTCATAACTTTCGTGCTGCGCTTACTTAAGTGTCATAACTTTTTTTTCGCTCATTTAAGTGCCAAAAATTTGAAAAAGTGATCACTTGAGTGCCAAATTCCATTTGGCAGCCGGAAAATCTAACGTGGCTTCACCGGAGCTGACGTTGACAACATTTTAATATTTTTTTGAAATTTTGAATTTTTTTATTATTAAATTTTTTATTTTTTATTTTTGCAAAAAAAAATTTCAATGCCGGCGAGGGTCACCAGCGACCCTCGCCGGCTGTGAAGGCCTCGCCTAGATTGGGCAAGGCCCGCCTTGCCCTTGGCCATGAAGGCCCTGGGTGAGACCGTTGCGGCCTCGCCGGCAACGGGCGAGGCTGTGAAGGCCGTCTCACCAGCCGCGGGGGAGGCGGCCTCTCCAGATCTGGCGAAAGCCTTCACCGCCGTGGGCGAGGCAGCCTCCTTCGCCACCTCGCCGCGCCGGCGAGGCCGCAATGGCCTTGCAAAGGGCTTTTGCGGCCATGGGCAAGGCCGCCTTGCCAGATCTGGCGAGAGCCATTGCCACCGCGGGCAAGACAGCCTCGCCGGATCTGACGAGAGCCTTTACCGCCGCGCCCTTGACTGGTGAGGCCGCGATGGCCTCGCCAAGGATGTTCGCGGCCGAGGGCGAGGCGGCCTCGCCGAATCTGGCAAGAGTCTTCACAGCCGCTAGCGAGGGTCACCGGCGACCCTCGCCAACCTTGAAAAAAAAAAAGATAAATAAAAAGATAAAGAAAAAAGAAAAATTTTAAAAATTTAATAAAATCCATAAAATAACATTAAAAAAATCCACTTCGGATGAAAAATTAATTAAAAGATCCACGTCAGCTCATTTGCCGGAAATTGCACTCAAGTGATCTATTTTCGCCGGAAGTGGCACTCAAATGATCTATTTTACTCCGATGTGGCACTCAAGTGAACGAAAAAAAAAGTTATGGCACTCAAGTGAGCGCCGTACAAAAGTTATGGCACTCCTAGTGTCTTTATCCCAATAGTTTTGAAGCTCAAATGGCTGAAGTGACTTCCAGGTGACTGAAAAATGAGCTTAACAAACTATTTGTGCAGCAAACACTCCACGGACCTCTTTGCAAAAAACTTTGTGACCATCAGGTTCAAGTTATGCTACTCTACTGCTCATTTGCTAGCAAATTGTGCATATCCTTGACATTCCAAGTCAACTAGCGATTTTAAATTTTATGTGCAAAATAAATCAGGCTTTGGTGGGGCATTTGGCACATATGAAAGCATAAAATGTCAAACACAAGGAAGCATGTTAAAAGTCTACTAGCCATTGCACCAAACCATCTTCAATTTATTTGCAACCACCTTCCATTTCTGGATGCATCAACATCAAGATTGTTCCAGTGAGGTAGGTGAGAAAATTGCTTATACCCTGTCGTGCGCATCTTACACAAAATTCACTATCCTCGGTTCTTCACGATATTCTTGAGCTTCTCATTTGCAGCCACAAGCCCTGCAGCTATGCCAGGTTCATTAACAGAATGTCCCGCATTTGGAATCACCTGTTCATAGTGCAACAATTTAATAAACAAGATAATGGATGAAGATTTTACTTCATAAATCTTCGTGGCATGCAGAATCAAAATCATGAAATCATAAGCAAGAATTCTTATCTGACGTGGCCATCCACAAAACCTTACAATTGCAGAGAATTGACCTATCTCTAAAAGCCATTGGGAAAAGCAATATGTCGGCAAATCCGTGACAACCATTAACATTAACCGTAAAGAAGTAAAGAAACACTAGAAGAATACTCTAAGCACGGAGGTCATATGCAACCTATAAAACAGATTTTAAGCATAATCAACGGCAGGACAAGCCTAAACAGCAGAAATCCTTGTGATCACCCGACAAACACACGTGGCTCATCAAGGGATCCCATAACAAGGTCAAATTCAACCAACTCAGAATTAAATTTTTCCATCTTGAAATTGGAAAAAGGGTAAAAGAAATCAAGGCTTCCAACATATCTCAGTGTTTGATTGGGCATGACAGACAAAAATTTATCGTTTAAGCCCCAAAAAAAGGAAAACCAGAAACAAAAAAAACAACCTCATTAGTCTTAGACCGTAACAAAATGCTTCCATGGGATCTATGGCTACTCAAACATCTATAAACGATAAACCATAAACAACAAACATTAGAATTTGCAACAAATTTCAGCCAAACGACCTCAACCAGGTTCTATGACTTCAAGGTCTCACTGATATACATCTGTCAGATGTCTTTTTATTTCAATTACCTGATTCGCTCGCACTCTCTATGTTCAAGTTCTCATTGTTCCATGCTTGACATTAGCAACTAACAATTGTGTATGTAACTCCAAATGAATAGGCGGAAACCACAAGGATTACTAAGCTATGCAACACCAAGGACATAGTAACAGTCATTAGAATGTATTGAAAACAAATACATCAAGAAACAGTGACTCGTGGGCGCTAGGGTCGAGCGAGGGACTTAAGAATTGAGCATTTAAAAACTCCAAGACAACGACAAAAGCAGAAGGAAACCCAACGAATTCAGAAGACGCACCTCAACGCAAACCATCAACCCACAACGCCAAAACCAAACACACACGAAGAACCCAAACAAAAAAAAGAACGTCACGAACATCATCGGACCTGATCTTGCACCTTTTGCTTGGGCACCTAGCTAGTGTACCGGGCGATACAATGGGGGACGGTGAAAGGCGCGTCGTATTGAGCGACGCCCACTCTGATGTTCGCAGAACCTATGAAAGCCAAGGGAACGAGTCACGTTCAAGCTAGGGTCGACCGAGGGGTCAGGGGCTTTTTTTCTTTTTTTGGTCGCTGAGTATTGATGACAACGAGGGACACAAACCTTTGCTTCGTCGGCGACGGTGGCGAGCAAGGAGCACCCGAAGCTGCAACAATGCGATGCGACGGAGCGAACGCCGGAGCAACCAGGAACGCCGACGAGAGCAAAATTTGAGAGCGAAATCACGATTTCAAAATAATTTGAAAGCCTTCGCTCTTGCAGCCAAAAGGAGAGAACATGCTAGCTCTTGCTTGGGATTGAACCTCCAGAGATTTGTTCTGTGAGTTTTTTACATTTAAATGAGTTGTTTATTTGTAAACACTTAAGGTTTTGGTTTAATCTAGGTGTTGGAAACACTTGAACTTGTGAGTAAGCGATTGTAACTTGGATTCTCCGATTATGATAAATTATTTCCTGATGGCTCTTCTCGTGGGTATAGGTACCAATACTTGGACCGAACCACATAAACCTTTGGTGTCATTTATCTTTCCTCGTTAATTTCTTTGGTGCTTTCGCATTAATTTAATTTGCAAGATCCCAATTAGCTTCCATGTTTGTTAATTTTACAACAGTTGGTATCAGAGTTATGGATAGGGTTTTTTGGATTGTGGTTTGGGGCTTTTGCTTGTCTGATTATTATATAGAAATTATGTTGTTGCAATTATGTTTAGGGAAAAAGCAGAAATTAAGAAGTTTAACGGAAGGAACAACTTTAGGTTGTGAAGCGTTAAGATCGAGGCCTATTAACAACTCAAGATTTGGCCGAAGTATTGGAGGGTAAGGATAAGTTGCCCGAAACAATAAAAGATGCTGAAAAGAACATGTTAATGAGGAAGGCGAGCAGTACAATCTTGTTAAATTTATCGGATGAGGTGTTGATAGAGGTGGTCAAGAAAAAGGATGTTGTAGCGTTGTGGGCATAACTTCAAGCACTCTATGTAACGAAGAGTTTGAACAATCGCTTGTACATGTTCAAGAGAATGTTTTAGTTTAGATACACTAAAGGTACATCATAAATGAGTTTAATAAACTCATGATGGATTTAAAGAACGTTGGTAAGATTCTAGATGATGAAGAGCATGGCATGTTGTTAGCTTCTTTACTAGATTCATGGGAGCACTTTACTTATTCACAACTACAGGGGTGCATTACAATTATCTTGGAAGCGATAAAGTCTGCCTTATTCTCTAAAGAGTGGTTGAGAAAGTTACGAGATGCCAGTCTAGTGCAGGATGTAGCGCAGGGATAAGTGATTCGAGGTAGAGATCAATATCAGGGGTCCAGTATCAGCAGAGATAAAAGCAAGTTGAAGTCATGCCATAGAAAGTCCAAGGAACGCGTGAAATGCTTTGAGTTTCAGGAGGAGGGGTATATTAGGAGAGATTATCCGAAGCGGAGAAACCGAGGCGATAGGTAGAATGCTATAAGCAATGTGACGAACGTTGCCGAGAAGAGTACTAGTGATGCAAATGTTGTTTTGTGTGTGACTACTAGTTCGTCAGGAGACGAATGGATGTTAGATTCGAGGTGTTTTTATTATATGATGCCTCACATGACCTGGTTTGCTACTTACCAAAATGTAGATGGTGGCAGAGTTTTGACAGGAAATAATGTAGCCTGCAAGGTTATGGGTATTGGGATAGTTCAGATTCGGATGCACAATGGGGCGGTGTGCACATTTACAAACGTGAGGCATGTACTAGAGTTAAAGAAGAATCTTATTTCTCTAAGGACACTCGATGACATCGGGCCGCCGAAGGTGGAGTACTGAAGATCTCTCGAAGTGCCATGACAATGATGAAAGGGAAGAAAGTGAATACTCTCTATCATCTACTAGGAGAGATCGTGACAGGAGCTTCTACAGTTTTATCAGGTGAGTCAGACTCTGACTTGACTCTATTATACCATATGCGATTAGGGCACATGAGTGAGAAAAGTATGACGATGTTCAGTGAGAGAGGATTGTTGAGGGGTCAGAAGACAAGGAAACTGAACTTATGTGAGCATTGTATTTTTGGGAAGTAGCGCTGGACTAAGTTTACTACAGCTATGCACTCGACTAAGCAGCCAGCTAAGTACATTCATTCATACGCCTATGGCCTATCTTCGGTTCCTTCATAAGGAGATGCCCCATATATGTTGACATGTATCAATGGCTATTAGAGGAAGGTTGGGGTACATTTTCCAAAGTACAAATCTGATGTGTTCGATCGGTTAAAGAAATTTAAGGCATTGATTGAAAAGTAATCGGATAAACAAATCAAGGATCTGAGAACCGATAATAGCACAGAGTTATGTATTGAAGATTTTGCCGAGTTCTATGAGAGAAAAGAGATTGTGAGACACCGCACAATACCTGTGACCATAGTAGAATGGCGTAGCAGAATGGAAGAGCAGAACTTTACTTGAGTGAGTTGGGTGCATGCTTTCGCATACAAGACTAGGTAAAGAATTTTGGGCCGAAGCAGTGAACATAACATGTTACTTGGTTAATCGATCTCCATCATCTGCTATCGAGTGGAAAACTCCTGAGGAAGTATGGTCGAGGAAACCTATTGATTACTCTGGATTACGAGTATTCGAATGTCCAGCGTGTGTTCATGTAAGTAATAGTAAGCCTGAGCTAAGGGCGAAAAAGTGCGTATTTATAAGTTATGCACATGGGGTGAAAGGCTATCGGCTATGGTGTACTGATCCTAGATCATCCACTATTATAATCAACAGAGATGTAATTTTTTAGGAGAATGTAATGCTTCAACAAAAAAGTTATGAGACACTACTAGCAGAGTAGTGTCAGTAGTGAGGTGGAGCTTTAAGTAGAGACTCTAGAGACCTCGGAGATAACACATACTGATACTATAAATGAGGCCACAGTTCCCGAAATCGGTGATAGTAAACAACCAACATAGCCACGGCACACTATAGTTGCAGGCAGACGAAAATGCAAATTAAACCATCGGTATGTTATGGTGATACTGATATTATTTATGCATTGACCGTAGGTGATAAGGTGGACAGATATGCCTTTATCTTACTTTGAGGCGATGGCTAGTAGTAAATTGTCGTAGTGATTAGGGGTTATAAGTGGAGATGGAATCATTCCATCAAAATCAGACATGGGAGCTAGTCAATGTACCTAAGAGCCAGAATATTGTTGGAAGCAAGTGGGTCTTTAAACAGGATTAGGGCATTCTCGATGTCGAGGCAGCGAGATATAAGTCGAGACTTGTTGCAAAGGGATACACACAGTGGAAGGGCATTGACTACAATGAGGACTTTTCTCCTGTAGTAAGACATACTTCTATTCGTGTATTACTTACTATATAAGATCTTGAATTGGAGCAGCTAGATATGAAAATGACGTTTCTTCATGGTGAGTTGGAAGAGTAAATTTACAAGAGGTAGCTAGAGGGATTTGCTATTCGGTGTAAGGAAGATCATGTTTGCTTTTTATATGGGCTGAAATAGTCTCCTTGGTAGTGTTATAGCGTTTTGATGCTTTCATGGCTAGTCATGACTATTTGAAAAGTCAGATTGATAGCTATATTTATTTTAAGAGATTGGAGGATGGGTATTTGATTTACCTTTTATTATATGTTGATGACATATTGATAACAGTTAAAAATATGTTTGATATTGATGTGCCGAAGAGGCAATTGAGTGGTGAGTTTGAAATGAAAGATTTATGTGCTGTAAAGAAGATATTAGGTATGGAGATTTTGCGTAATAGGGCTGCAAGACTTTTACGTTTATCTCAAAAGAAATATATTGAGAAGATTGTGGCACGCTTTAATATGTAGTCGGCAAAATTAGTGAGCACACCATTAGCGAAGCACTTTAAACTTTCAAATAAGTTATCACCGCTGACTGAAGATGAGGAGGACCATATGTCCCGTGTTCCTTTTTCTAGTATAGTGGGTAATATTATGTGTGCTATAGTATGCATTAGGCTTGACATTTCACAAGTTGTGAGCAGTTAGCCGTTATATGAAGCAGCCTGGTAAAACTCATTGAGAAGCTGTGAAGTGGATTCTCAGATATTTGAAGGGCACAGCAAACATTGATATAGTGTACCAGAGGGATAGCAATGGCAATAAGACCTTTGGTTATGTAGATTCAAATCACGCCGGTGACTTGGATGAGTGCAGGTTTTCAGTAGGGTATGTGTTTACACTTGCATGTGGTGCAATTAGTTGGAAAGCGTCTTTACATGACCATATTGCCTTGTCTTTGACTGACGCAGAGTATATGGCACTAACATTTATACCGAAGGAGGCGATATAGCTATAAAGTTTACTTTCGGACTTTAGGTTAAATAAAAAAAGTGTTGATATACATTGTGACAACCAATGTGCGATATCTTTGGTATATAATCTGGTCTATCACAAGCAAATGAAGCATATCAACATCAAGTATAATTTCATCCGAGATGTCTTGGTGAAGAGTAAGGTTGTTGTGAAAAAGATTGCTACAATGGAGAACCCGATAGACATAACAACGAAGCATGTTCCTTTGGCAAAGCTCAAGCTTTACTTGAGCTTAATTGGTATATGTAGAGAGTGAGCGTCCATCGGGGCGTATAGATGATGAGCATCATGACTTGGCTTCAAAAGTTGAGTAACGTTAGAGAAATGTTGAATTATATTTTCAGTTTGAGCTATTTATGAAATCCAAACTCCTGCACTAAAAGACAAAAGAATGGACGCGCTTAGTTTGTTATATATATTGCACTTGTGAGGGCAAAAAGGAGAAGAAAAAACAAAAAGCAAGCACACTCTTTTCCTCACCTTGTGGCCGTGCAAGAGAAGGCCAAGTGGACCCAAGGGAGTTTGGAGAGAAAAGAAAAAGAAAGAAGGGTTAATACCACGAAAAACCCTAAACTGGTACACTTGTGACACATTTACCCCAAACTATTTTTTTGACCATAAAAAACCCTAAACTGGTACATCTGTGACAATTTTACCCCGAACATACCATAAAAAACCCCAAACTGGTACACATGTGACAATTTTACCCCAACTAATTTTTAATATTATTTTTTTGAATTTTTTTGAATTTTTTCTTTTTTTTTCTTTTTTTTTTCTTCACTTCAACCTCTGGCCGATCGCCGATCCGGCGACCGGCCAGAGGCGGAAGCCGGCGAGGGCCGCACTCGGCAGCCGCT